CCCACCCCCGGCCCCTGGCCGTGTACGTCACCGCCCCGCTCCCCTCCCTCGTGGCAACCCAGCTGAGCAGGTAGCGCTCAGACGAGCACCACGGCGGGAGGGGGAGGGGAAGGTGAAGGGGAGAGACAGAGGGGAGAGAGAGGCAGAAGGAGGAGGAGAAGAGAAAGGGAGAGTGAGAGGCAGAAGGGGGAGAAGAGAAAGAAAGAGACGGAGAGAGAGGCAGAAGGCAGAGAGGCAGGAGGTGGAGGAGAGCTGTGAGAGAGAGGAGGAGGCAGTAGGAGGAGAGAGAGAGAGAGAGAGAGAGAGAGAGAGAGAGACATGGAGCAAGAGACCGGAGGCTCAGGGGAGAAGACCAACATGGAGGAGAGACCTGAAAATCCCGTCTTATGACGGGCTAATTGTCTAGTTTACATAATATTCTTAGTTGTTGGATAAGGACTTTGATTTGGCACTGTACAACATGTTGCTTAAAAAAATGTGCACGGTGCAGAATGAAGATAGCACGCATTAAATGAATTACAAACTGGCTAACTGAGAGGTCTCCAAATACAATTGCAAACGGAGTTGTCATTAAGTAGGTCAGTTTAGGGAGGACTCCTAGGGTTTGGTTCTGGGTCCCAGGCTTTTTTACATTTCTCATAAGGGCCTGGGAAATACACTGGAAACACAGTGATAAAGTTTACAGGAGACAGATTTCGGGGGGAGTGGGGTGATAAATAATGAAGAGGACACATTGTTGATTCAGAGCAGTCTGGATCATTTTATAAGCTGGGCACAAGCAAAGAATTGGCATTTTAATATGGCTAACTGGGTACATATAGGACCAAAAAATGTAGGTCATCATATAGGAAGCCTAGTTCGAACTACCTAGTTCGTGCCGCGTGTAGCCGCGTTGCACAGGGTTCGAACGAGCGGGGATTTAAAAATGGCGGCGCCCCGCTTATGCAAATGAAGCCCGGGAAATTCAAATCCCGGGCTTCATTTGCAAGTGCGGTATGCCTACATTACCCTCCTAGTTCGAACTAGGAGGGTAGTGTAGACATACCCATATGGAAGTGGGGAAGAAATCAGCTGGATGTGAGCTTCCACTTTGATGCTCTGGAATGCATAAACAGAGCAACCTCAACTAGCAGGGGAGAGGTTATTTTTATTTCTGTCTCTGGCATTGTGCCTCTGCTGATTTAAGACAGCATCCAGTTCTGGGGCCTGCAATTCAAGAAGGATGTAGACAAATTGCAGAGTGTTGAGAGAAGAGCCAAGCGAATGATTAAGGGATTAGAGGCCTTATGGAGATAGACTCAAGGAGCTGAATCTATTGAGCTTAACAAAGAGATAGTTAAGGGGTCTCTTGATTACAGTGTCGTGTAGCATTCACCCAGCTTTCGCGGAGATCAGAGGAAGGTATAGACTTGAGAGAGAGGGAAATGGTAAATGGAGGAGACGTCTGTTCTTGTTGCTTGTAGCATGGTATTTCTAATGAAGAATCGTGGGCCAGGACCCCAGTGTGCTAGGTACCGTATGAGGTCACAATAGAAGTAGAAGAGAAGAGATATTAGGTGAATACAACAGGCTAGAGAGACGCACAGGGGAAGAATCATTTATGTTGTGGTGATGATGGTTTTGTGGTGATGACAAGGGGTGCCCTAACGGTAAGGTGGTGGGGCGGGTTCCCTGACGGTAAGGTGGCGGGGCGAGTTCCCGCATGGCCTAGGGGATAGGGCGCTCGCCTGGGGAGGACAGGGTCGTGGGTTTTGCTAGGCACTTGATTGACTAGGGTGGTGAGGCTGCAGTAAATGCTTTTTCACAGTTAGCCTAAGCAGCTTGGTTGTTCTTGGGAGGCAAATCTGGGGGTCATTATTTAGCAACAGATTTGTAACTTTTTTGTTTTAATTTATCCTCCCCCCACCAGCTGACGGACTCCACACCAGAGTTTCTATCACAGGCTCAGGCTTTGCTGAGGACAGCCACGCCTTGCAGATAGAGGTGAACCACACAACCTGCCAAGTCGTGACTTCGAATCAAACGGGTATAGTTTGCTGGATGCATGTCTTACCAATGGGACTGTACCAGGTTACATTACTGGTGAGACCTTATGGGTTTGCTCGCAATGCCACCAATGGGCCGGCCATCTACCTGAGGGTGAAGCCCACGCTGGAAGCTATTGAACCTCCAACTGTTTCAGAGATTGGTATGTCTGAATTCAATATAAGCTCTCACCTGAATGCTGTGAGCATTATTGCTTTTGATAGAGTGTTTTTTGTCAATATTTGGGTATGGGGCTTTAGCATCACAGCTCCCCACTTGACATGGGACTGGTCAGGTACATTGCCTGTGTCCTACAGAGTACAGTTTAATTTTCTAGGGGCAATGTTTCTCAGGTAGACTGGCAGCTGGCTTTAAGCTGGGAAGTGCTACATCCCTGGCTAGCTGTCCTGCAGTGTGGATGCATATGGGTGTATGCTGCAGCTCTGAATAGGAGTGAGAGTTTCCCGGCTAACTTTCTCATGTCCTTTAGAAAGCTGCCCGCCAAGTGTAACAAATTACAGTAAAACTCCAGTGGTCCGGAAACCAGTGGTCTGGCACTCCTGATGGTCTGGCACCATCTGGAACCTGGAAGTGCTCTGGGCAGCCGGACCATTGGAGCTGCTCTGCCCCTGGCTTCCCTGATTCAGCCGCTGCTGAAACTGACCAGTGGCTGACTCCCGGAAGCCCAGGGCGGAGCATCCCAGCTGCTCTGCCTCAGGCTTCCCGGAGTCAGCTTCTAGTCAGTTTAAGCAGCGGCTGACTTGGGGAAGTCTGGGGCAGAGGAGCTGGGGTGCTGCTGGGTTGGTCCCACAGCACCAAGGGGCGCATCCCCCCCACTCCATCCCAGACCCCTCATAGCCCCCCTTCCGATAGTCCAGCATAGCTGATAATCCGGCACCCCCTGGTTCTTAAAGGTGCCGGATTATCGGAAGTTTACTGTATAACTCTATGGGTGCGTCTACACTGGGCCACTTATTCCGGAAAATCAGCCGCTTTTCCGGAATAAGCTGCGAGCTGTCTACACCGGCCCTTGAATTTCCGGAAAAGCAACGATGCTCTACTGTACAAATTCAGCCGCTATTCCGGAAACCGTACGCTGCTCCCGCTCGGGCATAAGTCCTTTTTCCGGAAAAGCTTTTCCGGAAAAGGGCCAGTGTAGACAGCTTTTCCGGAAAAGCGCTTCGTTATGACGATAACTCCGGGGCCAATGTAGATGCGCTTTTCCGGAAAAACTGAAAACGGAATAGTATTCCGTTTTAAGCATTTCCGGAAAATCATGCCAGTGTAGACGTAGCCTATGTATTTTGAGTGACCAAATGGAAATTGTTTCTCTGACCAGCTGCAGAATCTAGTGAGAGAACTTCAAAAAGCGAAACACAAGCCCCTATTTTTTTCCTCTCACATTTATAACATCAAAGGAAAAAAGACTCTACCTCCTCTTCCGGAAAAAGAAACGTTTCCAAGCCATCCATAGAGCTTAAGTCCAGAAAGCACCATTATGATCCTTAAGATAATACAGGCCAGAGAGTTCCACCAGGTGACGCCTACATCAAGCCCATAACTTGTGGTAGAGCTAGAGAGTATATTTTAGAAGGGTGCCCAGTCTTGTCCTAAAGAACTTCAATGAAGGATCCATCCACATCCCTTTGTAAACTCTTCCAGTGGTAAATCGCACACACTGTTCAAACATTTATACCTTATTTCTAGCCTGTGTGTATATTAGCTGCAGCTTCCAACCATTGGATCTCATTATAGCTTTGTCGGCTTGATTGAAAAGTTTGCTACTATCTGACCTTTTCCTTTGTAATTAGTTACAGACTATGATCAAGTCATCTCTTAATTTTTTCACCTTGAAAGCAGCACCAATATAGCAGCTTCAGTAAGGAGTCTGGTTTCTTTATACTGACAGAATCATACCAGGACAAGCCCTACGGTGGAAGCAGTTATGTTGGTAGAAGAGTGCTTTATATTGGTAGATTCCTCCCCACACAGGCATAGTCTCTACTGGTATAAGTGTGACCCATTGATTGGTATGTGTTATAGGTTCCACGCTGTGCTAATCCAGAGGATGTGCATTGTTACAGCCTCTAATGACAGGGTCAATAGCTAAACGGTAGTGCCTCATGCATTGAGCGATAGAGGCCTCCAATTCTATCCCTAGTGTATTGGCCAAAAGGACAGTAAGTCACAGAAGTGCTTTTCTATCGCAGAACGGCTCCTCCCGGGGGGTGTTGTTTAGCTTTGACTATATCAGGATAGTTAAACAGTACGACTGTGTCTGGACTGGCAAGTTTTTCCGGAAAATCAGCCGCTTTTGCGGAAAAACTTGCCAGCTGTCTACACTTGCCGCTTGAATTTCCGGAAAAGCACTGACAATCTAATGTAAGATTGTCAGTGATTTTCCGGAAATACTATGCTGCTCCCGTTCGGGCAAAAGTCTTTTTCCGAAAGACTTTTGCGCAAAAGGGCCAGTGTAGACAGCACAGTAGTGTTTTCCGCAAAAAAGCCCCGATCGTGAAAATGGCGATCGGGGATTTTTTGCGGAAAAGCGCATCTAGATTGGCCACGGACGTTTTTTTCACAAAAAGTGCTTTTCCGGAAAAGTGTCCTGCCAATCTAGACGCGCTTTTCCGAAAATGCTTTTAACGGAAAACTTTTCCGTTAAAAGCATTTCCGGAAAATCATGACAGCGTAGACGTAGCCTACCAGTGTAGTTAAACCAGTACAACACTTATCTGGAGACAAGCCCATATTCTTAAAATATTAAGGCTTTCCAGACCTCCAATTCGTCTTGCAGGTATTTTGTGAAAGCTACTTCAAGAGTCACCAGTGGCCCACAAAACACTTCCTACTGGTCACTGGAGAGCATCCTGGTTTCCAGCTGCTACATCACCTTTAAAGCAGCTGGAAATGCATTCAGTACTTCCCAGTTACTCTTCACCGTCAGAACTTCTCGAGTGGAAACAAAGGTGTTTGACCACTAGTATGAGAGGACGTGGCTTGGGCAGAGGTGGGAGTGAATGAGAGGGGAGATGGATCCAGGAGATACACTGTCTGTTGAGGGGCGACCCCTTTTTATGATGCAGTTGAAAGTCCCGTTGCTGTGGATCATGAGTTCTTAACCTGGGGGTTGTAAACAGGCTTCCGGGGTTCAGAAACCCCTCCCTTTCCTTTATATCCAGATGGAATATGTGTGTGTTCTTATGTGGGGTCATGGTACAAGGCAAGGTAGAAAACTGCTGCTATAGATCATTAAAAAAGAGGTAGGGACAATGCTTTGCCTTCGTTTCTCCCCCTGCCCCACTCTCCTTCCGCAGCAACTCAACTCCTTTCCTGATTGCAACAATCTTTCACTCATTAAAAAGAAAAGCAAGTATGTTGTTCTCCTACATTACACATGCTTTGAACATTTGTAATGGGAAAGAATTATAGCTTCCATCTGTGTTTTTAATTTCTTCCATTTAAAATGCCTCTGCAATTCTGTCATAAAGTATGCACACATGATTTTGCATATGGCTATCAAGTGCAGATATCAAAATGTATGTGCATTAATAATTAGAAAGCCCACATGAGTAGTGTACACTTGATTCGGATTGTTTATCCTGCAGTTACCACAGGAGAGGCCTGGCGTCAGGTTTTGAGCTGTGTTCTACTTGTCGTGGTAAACACAGGACATTCAGCTTTCTAGCAAGAGGGACTTGTATCCCTCATCAGTGATTCCTATTGTCAAAATAGCATCGACATTAATGGAGCCAAAGGGTGTTCCATTCAACAAACTTTCCAGAAAGGAAGATCATGTCACAGAACAGAATATAGAAATTACTTTACGGGTCAGATTAGTGTGTGGATCACTTGCATTCTTTAAGTCAATGTGGAATGTCTTTTTAAAGATCTACTCTAGCTCAAACCAGTTATGGACTTGTAGAAATTACTTGGTCTTCGTTAGTAGGTGAAATTAGATAATTTTAGTAATGCCTTCCAGCCTTAAAATCTGTGAATCTAGCTCATTTATGCTGGTATGTCTTCAACAGTGGCAGTCAGATGCTTTAAGAGAAGATGCAAAAACCCTTGTAATAGATGGTTAGGGCATAGCCTTCCTATAGAAGAACTTTTTTCCTGACCACCATGTCACATCATGAAAGGGGGAGCTTAAATCCATTCTAATTTTTTATCCTATCTCATGTTACTAAGCATGATCTCATTATGCATAAACCCCCTCATGTAACCCTTTGTTTGAATTCTAAGCTCTTGACCCTGCTCAATCTCCCTTTCTAGGCTGTGTCATGGGTACGTGTCTCAGCCTGTTTCACAGTAGATATGTAAGCAGGGAGGGCCTTTTTGTACATGGTGCATCAGTTTTGTCACTTATTATGGGGTCAGGGATCTTTCCTGGGAGGAGATGACCGTGCAGGCTTTGCCAAGCTCATCAAGTCAGGCATGGACACGTTTCTGTCCAAATTGTAGAGTAGAGGAAACCCAAGTGAGGGATGACAAACTGAGACACTGGGGGTATGTCTACACTAGCTCCCTAGTTCACACTAGGGAGGCTAATGAGGGCAACCGAAATTGCAAATGAAGCGTGGGATTTAAATATCCCGCGCTTCTTTAGCATGTTCCCGGGTGGTCGCCATTTTGGAAATTGACTAGCCCGGAAGAACTGCCCGCTTCTACACGTGGCAGAGAAGGGCGATTCCGAAATAAACCCCTTGCTTCTAATTACCATGAGGTTTAACTGGTAATTCGAAGAAAGGGGTTTATTTTGGAATCGCCCTTCTCTGCCACGTGTAGAAGCGGGCAGTTCTTCCGGGCTAGTCAATTTCCAAAATGGCAACTGCCCGGGAACATGCTAATGAAGCGCGGGATATTTAAATCCCACGCTTCATTTGCAATTTCGGTTGCCCTCATTAGCCTCCCTACTTCGAACAAGGGGGCTAGTTTAGACATACCCAAAGAGATTAAGTAACGGCCAACCGAAAGCCAGTGGCAAAGTTGGGAGCAGAGCCCAGATTTTCTGACCCATATGTTTCTGCCTTAACCAGTAGGAAATATCTCTTCTTGGAGTTTATAAAATGCTTTTCATACCCTGCACTTACAATGAAATCATTGGTGTTGTAGGGAGGTGCCCAGTGATCCTCCGAGGTGCTGGATTTGACGGGATAAACCTGGTGCTGTTTGGATCTCAGCCTTGTCCAATTAACACCAGCACCAGCAACTCAATGAGGATTGAATGTGAGGTACCCTCTAGGGTAAGTGACAGCATTTCAGCCTTGCCCATCTGGGGGAGAATCCGTTTACAGAGGGATAGGAGGGGCTCTTGTGGTCCTTTCACTTGTATCTATAGAGTCCTCATTGGCTCCAGTAACATATGTCTCTTCCACTGGATCTAAAGGAGATTCTCTGGCAATTGTGGGAGTATTAGGGCTTCTGTTCCCCAGAGACGCCCATTACTGGGCATCACAATCACACCAGCTTGAGTAGAGGGCAGTGTTGACCACACACTGGTCAGTGCCTTATTGTGACTCATCTTGGGTTCTACTTATGCTGTACTGATGCTGTTCTCACTGATAAACTCAGGTCAGAATATTCAAGCTCTTAACCTTGCATGTTGGGGAGGGATGGGCGTGTAATTTTACTCGTACATGTTAATTTCCACTCTCTTTTTAAAACCGTTTCCAGGGGGATGAAGAATATAGTGTCCCTGTGACACTAACCGCTGGTTCACAGTCTGCCGTGTTCCCCTTGGCCTTCAAGTATGAACCATCTTTAAATCCAGCTGTTGTATTGCTGAGCAGAAACAGAAGCAGCGTAGCAGGTAATGATGCCACGGTCTCGAAATGCAAAGAGAAGGCTGGTGTAAAAATAATAACAGCTCTCAAAAGCTTTGTTTTCCATTGTCGTCCCTAGTGAGGGTGGAGCAGAGGGACTCAGGTTGGGGAGGGAGGAAGGGGGGGCAGCTAAGAGGTCTGAGGGTTGCAGCTGACACGTGAAGATTTTTACTCCAAGTCTGGCCTTGTTCAGTAGTGAACAAACATTCTTGACATCCAATGGCTCCCCCCATGCAAGAGAAATCATTGGCCACAACTTAAAAAAGCTGGGTGTCCACATTTATAAACCTCCATCACAGCTGGAGTGCTGCTGAGGCTGAGAATAGCCTAATAGAGGATCTTGTGTCCTTGAGGTAGTCTAAAATCAGGCCATGGTAGCATGTGCAGGAGTAAAAATGAGCCAGAACTTGCTTCTCTAGGGTCCCTACTATCCCTGTCCTATAGATAATTATAATAATATGTCTCCTCACTTGTCGCCAGTAGGTCTCAAAGCACTTTTGAAAAGGGAGAGATCGGCCTGACAGGTTTCTGATGAAAGTGTCTCAGGCCAGAAAGGAATTTCTGAAAGGGGAGAGAGAAGCCACCATAGACTAGCTGGTAGCCCAATGATTAGAGCAGTCAGTATGATATCAGGACTTGAACTTAAGTCCTTTCCCTTTCAAGTGACTGTCCTAGCAAGAAGACATTGGCTTCTCTGGGGCTCTTTTTTTCTTCCTTTCTTAACGAAAATTTTCAATTTTTTCATTCTGTAATGGAGCAAAATGGTCAAAACCTCAAAGTATTTCATGAAATGGAATTCTTGGTTTCTGGCCAAGTCCTAGTATGTGTATGTTATCTCCATCTTATAGGTGGGGAAACTGAGGCATGGGGCAATCAAGTGACTTGCTCCGGGTCATCTAGAGGTATGCCTACACTACAGCGCTAATTCGAACTAACGCATCCAGACTAAAAAACTAGTTCGAATTAGCGTTTTGCTAATTCAAACTAGCATGTCCACATTAAGTGGACCCTGAACCGGGATTAAGGATGGCCGGAAGCAGTGCCAGCAGGGCATCAGATGAGGACTTAGAGCGTGGAGCTGCTATCTCAGGCTAGCCGAGGGCTGTTCTTAAAGGGTCCCGACCCCCACCCCGGACAGACAGTTCTCAGGGGTGCCCCGCTTGCAAAGCAGTCCTGGCTTGGAGTGCCCTGAGTGCCCACACTGGGCACATCACAGCACTCGGCCATCAGACCAGCTGCACTTGCAGCAGGCTGCCATCTGGGGAGAGGGGGCAATTGGGGGGCTGCAGGAGAGCTTCCACCCCCAGAAGCCC